GTCCGAGTGAGGTATACAGCGGAGAAGTTGGCTCAGATTTATATTAGTCAGATTGTGCGGTTACACGGAGTGCCGGTGTCCATTGTGTCTGACAGGGGTTCAGTATTCACTTCTCATTTCTGGAGAGCATTACAACATGATTTGGGCACTAGACTCGACATGAGCACAGCTTTTCACCCTCAGACTGACGGTCAGTCTGAGAGGTCTATTCAGGTGTTGGAGGACATGCTTCGGGCTTGCGTGATCGACTTTGGTACTAGATGGGATTAGCACTTGCCATTGGCAGAGTTCGCCTACAACAACAGTTATCATTCTAGCATTGGGATGGCACCTTTTGAGGCACTGTATGGTAGGCGGTGTAGATCACCTATTGGATGGTTTGAGTCAGCGGAGGTGGACTCCCTTGGTACTGATATTCTTAGAGAGGATATGGAGCATGTTCGTGTGATTCAGAGTAGGCTCTTGACTGCCCAGAGTGTTTTATTTTAAAAAATATATTTTGGACTGGTTTAAGAGTCGCCACTTAATTTTTGAGAAAAATCAAGAAAACTATTGTTTTCAAAAGACTAAAACAGTAATCTAATGAGAACTTTAAAAAAAGGGTTTGAGGTTCTTATTAACATTCTAGGAAGGTTTTAAAAGCACCTAGAATGTCCACTAATGTGGTTATCCGACAATTAATTATTTGGCTAAATATTTTAATAGGGTAGACATACTTGATTAAATAGAGGGAATAAACAATTAAGACTTAAAATCATTTTTAGGGGGGTGGGAAATATTAAAAATATTATTAAGTAAAATTTGAGTAAAAAAATAAGCACGATTATTTAGTCCTTAGAAAATCCCGAAGTGACTATCTTTTGGGGAATGGATTAGGAAACCTTAAAATTAAATAAACACATAAAACATCTAATAGCAAGTAAACGAGATAGGGCAAGAAGATTTTGGTCCCAAGTCTGGATCTGTCCGCCTGGGCCAGTACTTGGGCTTAATTTCAGTTTTGGGTCCAAAGGCCCAAACCTTAGTACCTGTCCTAAACTAACAAGATGATAATTAAAATAAAAGGGGCTTAGGCCCAACAACAAAATACAAAATTGAATACGGGGCCTTTAGGCCCATTTCCGTATACACTAGGTGTATACTAGTGTATGCAATCCCGTGACATCAATTTTCAGGGACTTGTTCTTTGATTCCATTTGGTTGGCCGACTCAAGAAAGGCGGAATTGGAGCCTTGATGACCCTCTCGAAATGCGGGAATGGAGTCCCAAATGGACTCGGATAAGATTACATACAAAAAAAAGAAGAGGAAAACAAATTAGTATATGAAAGATCTTTCAAGTGATTGCACGAAAACATTTAATACAAGAGAAAGAGCAACTAAGACTAGCTACTATGTTGAGACAATGTAACAGCAAATAACAAGAACACAAGCAGCAAGCATTTCCCCAACCTACCAAACTTGAATCTTTTCTATAATTAATTGAACAAGATCCTTTAAGGGAAAGATACAACTTAGCACTTTTTAATAGAGAAGGGACAAACTCAAAATCTCATAGATAGATGGCTTAAAATTTTGGAACCTGTGCTAAATAAGGTCAATAAGGAAGGGGAAGCATTTAGAAAAGAGGAATAATTGCAAATGTCCTACAATAAAGATATGAAAGCATTATTGGCTACTGTTCAAAACAGTATAAAACATACCACATGTTGAGAGACAGTGACTTTGGTCACTAAACTAAAAATATTTCAAAACATGGTCATGATCTCTAACCAAGTAGCACATGAGAATAAAGGGAAAAGAAACCCATGTGGCTGATTTTGAATTCCTTACAAAGGCACAACTATAGGCAAAAAATATAATCAAACATGGAAATCAAATGCTCAAAATAATTACTTCTTAATTTGGAGTAGAAATAAACCAAAAAGAGGCATATTGTAATTATTTCACTCCCCCTCCAACAACTAATATCTCCTTATGCTCTTAATCATGCTTAAACAGTGAATGCAATACAAAAACTCATTGCACAGAAATCCTAATTCGATAAATGACAGATTCGAAATCATTATAGGTTTAAAAATGCTAAACTAACAGAGACATCTCCAAGTTGATTCGAGACGAAAAATAAACTGAGGGAGGTCTGCAACGGAAACTAAATAATATTGAAAGGAAACTCATGACAATGAATCACTAAATAAACAATTTGGGAATTAGAGGTAACTTTAGACACAAAAACACCACATAAGAGAATTTTCAAATCAGTAAAGGACAGACCACATCTGAACTTCACACTTGAATCGATTCAACACTCGATGGACGACAAAACATGTTAAAACAAATACTTTAAAGTTCCCAGACTCAGAATCTTCAACGTTTAATAAGATTACATAACAACCATATACAAACAACAAATAAAGTAGCAGAGAGATTCATAACTAATATCCATTGATGCAAAAGGATTCCAACATACTAAAGATATACCCTCTTTAGAACACTGAACTAAAACTCATAAAGAAGACTAAAAATAAATGGAAAAAGGCTAACGAAAGTTTACCTCTTTCTGGGCAGCGACTGAGACGAAACGAGCTTGAGAGCGATTCCACCTTCACCACGAATGAAACTTCAACCAGCTTCAGTGGACAGAGAACAAAAAAGAAAATCAGAATCCGAGCTTCTGTTGTCTTTTCCTATCTCGTATGTATTTTTCTATGTGTATAAGTGTTGTTCCCTAGCTATTTCCTTACTATTTCTCTCTGTTTCTTCCTAATGCCTCCTTTCCAACTCTATTTTTCTTTTTTTTTTCTTTCCAACTCAATGTAAGTTGTCCCTCTTTATCCCCTTCTACTTTCCGGCTCTATCCCCCAACCTCTAATAATGAAGAATAAAAGGAGTTTATATAGGAGGAATTTAGGGCTATTTTGGGGGGAAAGGATGAAAGAGTAGAATCAAATTCGAATTTGAAATTCAAAAATCTCTAAGAGATAAAGTTGCTGCTGGATTTCTGTACAATTTGAGAGGGACGTTGAAGAAGAAGACAAAGAAATCACAGTGTACTCTCTCTGTTCCTCGCTGCTTCTTTTGTTGTCGTTTGTTGGCGCTGTTCTGGGTCTTTGGTTTTTGGGTTTCGCTGAAAAGGAAGAAGAAACGAGATTGGGGTCATTTTTTTGTATTGTTGCACGTTACTGCTGCTGTATGTATTATATTGTGGAAAAAGAAAGTGGGCTGGGCTTGTTTTGTTTGCAAAGGTGGGCTGGGAATTGTAATTAAGAGTTGGGTGGGTTGGGAAATTGGAGTGGAGGAATTAAGAGTGGGTCGGGTTTGCTGTTGGGTTGCTGAAAATTGAACTTGGACTGCTAAAAAAGAAGTAAGCAGGCCCAAAATCGATCTTTTAAGGATTGAAATTGGGATTATAGAAATGGGTATATTTATAAATAAAAATAGCCAAGTGTATTAAGAATGTTATGCAAAGAAATTGGCTAAAATTTAAATGAGATGAATTAATATAATCAACTAACGGACTTCCTAATTTCACTGGAATGAAATAATAAATTTAACTAAACTAAATTACTCAAAATTAAAACCATAATTTAAACTAAACAAATTTAATGAAAAAATTTAAGTAAGGCATAAAGTCTTTTGAGATGATTTTCCAATATTCATAATATTTACTAATTATATACATAATTATGTAAAACCATATATATTATCTAGAAATTATAAAAATGAGAAAATTAATTTAAAATAACTTGAAAATATTTTGAACTTTATAAAGATTAATTATTTCAAATCGTTTGAAATTTAAGAAGCTCGATGGTTAAATATACTGTGGAGGTCCAAAATTGGGTGTCAACATAGAGTAGGCAGAAGAGCTATGCTGACAGGAGGGTTCGACCCTTAGAGTTCATGGTGGGTGATCGAGTTTGGCTTCGGGTATCGCCCATGAAGGGTGTGATGAGATTTGGGAAGAAGGGCAAGCTCAGCCCTAGGTTCATTGGCCCATATGAGATTTTAGAGAGGCTTGGAGAGGTGGCTTACAAGTTAGCCTTGCCACTTAGTTTGACAGCCGTGCATCCAGTTTTCCATGTTTCTATGCTCCGGAAGTATGTTCCGGATGAGTCTCACGTGATTTCGGTTGAGTCGGTGGAGTTGAGTCCAGATTTGACATTTGAGGAGGAGCCTATAGCTATTTTGGACAGACAAGTTCGCAAGCTCCGGACCAAGGACATCGTTTCAGTGAAGGTTCAGTGGAGGCATCGATCAGATAGGGAGGCGACTTGGGAGTCTGAGGATGATATGCGGGTCTGATATCCCCAGCTTTTCGAGGCTTCAGGTACTTTCTTTTACTTTATGTTCGAGGACGAACATGGTTTTTAGTGGTGAATGATGTAATGACCCGAAAGGTCATTTTTGGTGATTTTTCGTGGAAATGACTATTTTGCCCTTTCGGTAGTTACCCCGAGTCCCATGTTTTGTGGTTGTAAAGTTGGTTTGAGGAAAAGTTGGTAAAAAGTTGAGTTTTTGAGAAGTTGAGTTTTTTTATGAGTTAAAGTTGGTTAAAAAAAAGTGCTTTTTTGAGTCATTTGGAGTTTCGGGAGTCGGATCAGATTTCCGTCAATTCCGGCAGTTTTAGAATGTCGAAACGGGTCTGTGTGAAGTTACGGCGTTGAATTTGGAGTTGAAATGAAGAATTGAGGTCCTAAGTTGCTAAAGTTGTGAAATTTTGATAAAGAGTTGAGTTTGGTTAACATATGAGGTTCCGAGGCTCAACAGATTGAAATTCCGAGAGTACCGTTGGTTTCGGGAGGCGATTCTAAGTCTAGAATGAGTCTTGGTTGAATTTTTAGACGCTCCGTTTGAGTTTCGAATTTTTTTGGCGTTAAACTAGTCTCTTGGCATCTTATTGAATTTCGGGTCAAGGAGTCCTCGAATTCAAATTCCGACGGTTCCATTGAGTCCGGAACGTCGAGTTTAGTGGGGGTACATATTTAGTTTGTGTGCACGAGATTCCGAAGGAATCCCGAGGGTCCAACGGGGACTTAAACTTTGGTGTTATTATTGCGTTGCAGCTGCTGTGTTTTTTTTAGCTGCAACAGCAGTTTCTTTTCTCTTTTTTTAAAGCCAAAACCAGTAGCCATTTTCCCCTAACTTGAAAAATACCCATTTCTCCATTTTTAGACTTTGAGAGCTCGAAAATAGGTGATTTCAAGTGGGTTTTCGCAAGGAATTCATTGGGTAAGTTATTTCCAACTTATATCTTTGATTTCCATCGATTATTTATGGATTTTAACATCAAAATTTCAGATCTCAACTGTAAAATTTGGGGTTTTTTGCCTAATCCAAATTAAATAGAAAATTTAAGCTTGTGAACTCATTTCAACTCCTTTTTCGAAACGGTTTTCACTATTGGATTCTAAATTTCTTGGGGAACATTTTTCACTAAAAATTTCCAGATTTTGAGAATATTTTCCGGAACAAGATTTTTTTGACCATTTTACCTTTTTCTCCAAATTTCACGATATTGGTGTTGTTAGATTAGTATTGATTGTGGGATTCCATTTATGAATAGATTGTGGTGATTTGGAGCGTGCTCGGAAGGGTAAAACTCAACCCTTTTCTCCAAATTTCACTATATTGGTGTTGTTAGATTCGTATTTATTGTGGGATTCCATTTATGAATAGATTGTGGTGATTTGGAGCGTGCTCGGAAGGGTAAAACTCAAATTTGAGTTACTAGTTGAAGTGTTTTGAGGCAAGTGACTTCTAAACTTTGTTAAACTCTTAGACTACACATGACTACTTTCCTAATTGTGTTGGGGAGTAATGGGGATTGAGGATGAGTTTTATTTGTTGATTGAAATTGTTGTAATTGAAAGATGGGGAATAAAACGAGCTAAATGTGTTATATGTGACTTGAATTTGTTGAATAAGTCATGTGATAACTGATATTGAGGGGATAGAAGAGCATGAGTAGGCTATGATTGATACAGACATTGATGTTGAGACAGATGATGTGTAATACTATGATGTGATCGTGATATGATTGTGATTGATGACATGTGCATATTCATTATTCATCCCATGTGTGAACTATCTGTTGCATGAGTTCTGAGACACTGATATGAGGATGGATGGATATGAGACACAGTTGAGACTAGCTCCGGCTAGAGATATATGAGATGGACTAGCTCCGGCTAGCGATTTGGATGCCGATGGGATCTGGTTCCGGCGGTGATACATGGTCCATGTGTGGGCCCCATGTGTTCTGATTTGAGTATTCAGCGCGGTCTGATTACGTCAACAGATGTGTATCTTAGGACAGACATGCATCACGACTACATGACATCATTATTGCATTTGCATCGCATTTGACTTCATCTTTGTCTGTGGTGTGTGGATTTTACCTACTTGCTCCTCTTCATGTGATATATGATCTATTTGCTCTTATATGAGGATATGAGGTTGATGTTGAGATACTGTTGGATATATCTGTTGATTATGAATTGTGTAGTATAGGTTGTTGGTTCAATGTTAGAATGAAGTTTCGTTGGTTCGGTTGGGATTGAAAGGAGTTGTTTGTAGCTGCTAGTTTAGCTTAGTTTAGTGTTACTTGCGAGTACTTGTTGCTTTTGGTACTCACCCTTGCTTCTACACAGTTGTGTAGGTTGACAGCTCTATCAGATCCGGTTTATTACTCATCTTCAGATTAGAGCTTCCAGACTTACTTGAGAGGTAGCGGTTCATTCCAGACGTGCCCTCAAGTTATCTATATTTACTGTTCTGTTCTATTCTAGAACTTTACTATGAGACTTGTATATTTTATTCAGATTCTGTATTAGAGGTTTGTACATGTGACAACAAATTCTGGGGTTATGTTGAGTTTATTTAAAGACTTCCGCTTATCTTTCTATCTTATTCTTGTTTATAAATTCTGTATCGTTGGGTTTTGGGTGTTAGGCTGACGTGTCCGGTGGGGTTTGGGCACGTGCCATCACATCTGGTTTTGGGGTGTGTCATAAAGCATTATGATCATTTTTCCAGAGACTATTTTTGTTTTAAATAAGAAAAACTTTGAACATTTATTATTTTGGCTTTAGATGTTCATTTCAGGTATAGAAAAACTTTATTTCACAGTCCATACCTCATTTGAACTTATAATATCTATAATTACTCATTAGAACTACCACACATAATTAGTTAAATCGATCACAAACACCCACAAAAAATTTTGGTCAAAAACTACATGCAATTAATGTATGCCTCTCTAGAAGGCAAGCAATGTATACTACCATATCATTTACTATGTAATGAATTAGGTGATCCATGAAAGATTAAATTGTAGGTCAATGAGTTTTCTTTCAAATTCCACCAACTTTGTATCATTTAATGTTTAAAGTAAATAATTATGACCATTATACCAGAGACTAGTATATTGTAAAAATGAAAAACTTCGAACGTTCATAATTTTGGCTTTAGATGTTCGTTTCCTATATAGAAAACTTTATTCCACGGTCCATACCTCATTTGAACTTATGAATATCTATAATTACCTATTAGAACTAACACACATATTTTATTAAATCATCACAAACACCCACAAAAAATTTGGTAAAAAAACTACATGCAATCAATGTGTGCCTCTCTAGAAGGCATAAAATGTATACTACCATATCGTTTACAACATAATGAATTAGGTGAGCCATGATATATAAAATTGTAGGTGAATGAGTATTCTTTCAGATGCCACAAATTTTGTATAATTTAATGTTTAAAGTAAGGCATTATGACCATTTAACCAGAGACTAGTGTAGTTGTAAATAAAGAAACTTCTAACGTTCATAATTTTGACTTTAGAGGTTCGTTA